CCGGTCGTCGCCTCGTCGTCATCCCCCCCCGCCTCTACCCTCACCGGTATCCTCACCCCTATCCTCACCGGTATCCTAACCTCTGTCATCCTCTGTCCTCACCGCCCGGCTCACACCACCAGCGCCCATCGTCATCTCGTCGTCGTCGCCTTCCCCCGCCTCTATCCTCACCGGTATCCTCACCTCTATCCTCACCGCCCGGCTCATACCACCAGCGTCGGTCGTCGCTGCATCGTCGTCGTCCCTCCCCCGCCTCTCTCCTCACCGGTATCCTCACCTCTATCCTCACCGCCCGGCTCATAAGACCGGGGTCGTTCGTCGCTGCGTCGTCGTCGTCCCTCCCCCGCCTTTCTCCTCACCGGCATCCTCACCTCTATCCTCACCGCCCGGCTCACACCACCAACGCCGGTCGTCGCTGCGTCGTCGTCGTCCCTCCCCCGCCTCTATCCTCACCGGTATCCTCACCCTTATTCTCACAGCCCGGCTCACACCGCCGGTCGTCGTGCGCTCTCCCCACCTCTATCCTCACCGGTGTCCTCACCGCTATACTCACTTCTTGGGTCAAAAGAGGAGTGAGGCTGTGACGGTCTGGCGCGCTGCAGCTACTGTGAGGGTTTGGGGGGGCTGCAGCGACTGCAGCTGTGATGCACGCGCCTCGTCGCGTCGTCGTCGTCGTTGCGCCGTCGTCTCGTCGCGTCGTCGCTCCCGCGTCGCCTCGCTCGTCACCCCTGTGCCCAGCGCCCGTCCTCTTTCCCGCTTTCCTCATCCATCTTCTTGGGTGGGGTTGCAACGCTGCGTAGGGACTGTGAGGGGCACCTGGAGACCTGCAGCGACCGTGAGGGCTGCAGCGGCTGTGAGGGGTTGGGGGGCTGCAACGACTGTGCAGCGACTGTGACGGCTCGAGGGGCTGCAACGCCCAGGCTGCAACGCCCAGGCTGCAACACTGCGCAGCGACTGTGAGGGGCACCTGGCCACATCGGTAGCCACATCGGTAGCCACAAACGGTAGCCACAAACGGCAGCCACAAAGGATAGCCACAAACGGTAGCCACAAACAGCCACAAAAAGCTATCCACATCGTCGCTGCGTCGTCGTCATCCCTCTCCGCCTCGATCCTCACCGGTCGCTGCGTCTCCGTCCCTCCCCACCTCTATCCTCACCCATCCTCTTGAATCAGGAGAGGAGCAGCCTGCAGCGAGTGTGACGGCCTCGACTGCGCTGCAGGGTGCCCGCGAGGTTGCAGCGACTGTGAGGGCGCCTTGGGGGGGCTGCAACGCTGCGCAGCGACTGTGAGGGCGCCTAGGAGGCTGCGGCGGGGGGGCTGCAACGCTGTGCAGCGACTGTGAGGGCATCTGGGGCGGCGGCGACTGTGAGGGCACCCGTCGTCGCCGCCTCGTCGTCGCGTCGTCGCCGTGCACGCGTGTTCGTCGCCCCTCCCCCGGTGAACCCCCGGTCGGTGAACCCACCGTCGCGTCGTCGCCGCCGTGTCGTCGTCGCGTCGTCGTCGTCGTCGTCGTCCCGTCGTCGTCGCCAGAACACTTGGCAGAACACTTGGCAGAACACTCAGGCAGAACATTTGGGCAGAACATTTTGGCCGAACAGGACCGGTACAACAACGGGCCCAACAGTGAGGGGATCTGGGGGCTGCAGCGACTGTGAGGCCTGGGGGCTGCAGCGACTGTGAGGGGCACATGGGGGCTTCGACCTGGCACCTGCAGCGACTGTGAGGGGACCTGGAGGCTGCAGTGACTGTGAGGGGCAGTTGCAGCGACTGTGACGGCACCTGGAGGGCTGCAGCGACTGCGAGGGCACCTGTGCAGCACTGTGAAGGCGCCTGGGAGGCTGCAGCGACTGTGAGGGCGCCTGGGGGGTTGCGGCGACTGTAAAGGCACCCGTCGTCGCCGCCTCGTCGTGGTCGTCGCGTCGTTGTCGCCGCGTTGTCGTTGCCGCGTCGTCGTCGCTCCCCCCTCACAGTCGACCCACCACCGTCGTCGTGCACGCGTGTTCGTCGCCCCCTCCCCCGGTTCACCTGCGCCGGTTTGCCTTCGTCGCCACGTCGCCCGGTGGTGAAACCATGACCGGCAGCAAACACGTCACGTCGTTGTCGTCGGGTCGTCGTCGTCGCGTCGTCGCCTCGCCGTCCTCTATACCGCTATCCTCACCCATCCTCTTGTACGGGTGGACTTGTCCACTGGTGTTTTGCAAATGGAAAAACGGTTTCCTTTCTTTTGGTAAAACTGGAAAGTTTTCCTTTATTCGCTTTTGCCAGTGCCTGCATCTTCTTGCCTCGGTACATGTCGTGAAGCTCTGTGCATCCGCACTCCGCTTTGGATCAAGTTGCAGCGAAGTCGCTTCGCAATTTTGATTTGGGCCTCTCTAGAGTCCTGTAGTGCTGTCTAGCAGGCTCCGGGGGCTAATTCCAAGGCTTCTAGCTCCTCGTGGCCTGGGTAGAGCGATCGCCCCCTACAAGGGGGTGGTGCATGGCAGGCACCTCTTGCCTCTTGAGTGATCTGTCATTCGTGCATGGTGTCCCGTGCTGAGCTTGAAGAGTTCCGTCAGTACTTTGAGTGCTCGCTGCTCAGCTTGGTTCGTGGTGCCTCTGTGGAAGCCAAAAAGGACGTCGATAGTGCGAGATCAGACTTCATCGAAGCACTGCAATCTTTCAGGGACGACACCCTTGAAGCTTTGACTGCTCTGCACGAGCGTGCTGACCTTCTGCTTGAGAATCAGTTTAGGCTGCAGAACCAGTTTGTGATTTTGCAACAGCGCCTTACTCGGCTTGAAGGTGAACCGGACTGCACTGACGGGCCGTGCTGCCCGGACGGGTCGAGCTTTTTGGATTCCTTGGATTAAGGGGCTTTGCTGGCGAGATGTCCTCCAGGCCCACTGACCCTGATGACAGGTCTCGCTTGGGCGGGCCACGTGGTGGCCCATATGCTGATCGTAGACTGCCTGGGGTTGGCTCTAGGCCTAGTCCCCCTCCCTCCTTCGGGTATCTTCGGTTTAGGTCCGCACCGCCCCTCCCCGAGTCGGGCATTCCCTGCCCACCTGTGAATCGGCACGTGCATTTGAGGCCCCCGGCACTGCCGGCCCGCGCAGCCCCTTTCACACCGCCGTTTCAAGCCTTGCCTGAGCTTCAGGCTGCACCTCCATTGCCCAATCCGCAAGGAATGGTGGTGTCGGTATCGAACAAGCGCCCGCGCGCCAGCAAGCAGGATGGTCGCGGGATGCAGGCCATTCGTGCACACTCAGCGGCCTGCTCTCAGATTGCTGTGAACCTCATGCTGCAGCTTCTTGCCTTCTTGGGGTCTGAATCTAGCTTTTTCTCCGCCATCCAATCAGCAGTGCATTTCGATGCACACGTGCGCCGTGTACTTGCAGGTTTTGCCGCAACGACTGTCATCAGGTACATCACTACCTTTAACTCCTTTGCTAAAGCTTGTGAGGACTTGGATGTGTGTCTTCTTGAGATTACTGCAGTGCAAGCGGCCGACATCTTGGTCACTTTGCAGCTTCAAAGACAGGAGGATCCGACTGTCGGATCGTCGGCAATCACTTGCATCAAGGCCGTACGGTGGGTTTGCAAGAACACCCAGTGCATTGTGTTTGAGGTTTTCTTTGGCGAGCTGATTTCATCCTTCTTGAAGACCAAATTGCCTAAGGACCGCAGGGAGAGCCTACCCCTGCCGCTGTATGCTCTTGTGCAGTGGGAACGGCGCATCCTTCAGCGCTCCACCCCAGTGCGGGACATAGTACTGCTCGGTGCTTTTTTGGTCACATGTTGGGCGAGTCTTCGCTTTGCTGACAGCCAGCGCATCGAATGGAGCTCATTCGCTTTCGACGTGGTTTCGCTTCGGGCCATTGCATACCAGACGAAAACTTCGCATCAGGGCCAACCCTTCGGCCTAATCACTCAAGGCTTCTTGCATCATGGCACACACTCCTGGGTGGCTAGGTGGCTCCGGGTTCTTGATTCCATCGCTTCGCAGGAGGTGCGCGACTTTGGGGTGGCTCCTAGCTTTCTGTTTCCGGCACTGGACGATGACGCCGAGTTGCTCCGGCCCCTGGAGCCGATGAGTTACCCTTCATGCTTGCGCTGGTTGCGCTATTACTTGCAGTTTCCTTGGATGGTGTCTCCACCCGAGGTGCCCGTATCTAACTATACGGTGCACTCCATGAAGTGTAGCCTCTTAAGTTATATGCTTGAGGTGCCGGACATCCGCGGCCCAGACAGGGACGCTCAAGGACATCATAGGGGGAGTAGCAGGGAACTCTACAGCAGAGATGACGTGCTAGGGGCGCTCCGCGCTCAGACACAATTGAGGTCTGCTGTCTTGGCGGATTTTCGCCCAAGGACGCCATTGCACCGTGGAGCACAGCTGCCTATGGCACCGATCCCTTTTACTTTGGAAGCCTTCAGCAAAGAGATCGATCCTGCACCGTGGGGTTTCTTTTCCTTCGATGTTGGTGTCCCCGGGTCGCTCCCCTGGGTTCCCGGTCAATCTTCGGCATGTGCTGCGGAAACACCTGCTGCAGAGGCCAGCACCAAGGCTGCCGAGCCCTCCTTGCCCGACTCCGCATCGGAGGCTGGATCTGAGTCAAGTCTTGAGTCCGAGGCAGGGCCCGCGTCGCTCGGCCCCCCAGATGAGGTGCACATGGTCGCCGCAACAGGCGTTGTGCACGCCGCATGCCCGTCAGGTGAGAGGACACTTTGTGGCATCGGTATGTCGGGCCCACGTTGGCAGTCGGTCCACTCTCTTAGTTCCAAACATGTTCTCTGCAGGCGAAATGCCTGTGTCAATGCATTCGCTGCTCTGGAAGCTTAGTAAAAGTGCAGTTTGCTGCCTTTGTCTTGTATCGGTATGCGCTCGCATTCTGCTTGCACATGTTTTCTTCATGCATTCCATTTTCTTTGCATTGAACCTGCCAGGACACGGGTCTGCCCTCGATCAGCCGCTTCAGGCCCGAACGGTAGTTTTTGCCGACCGCTGCTCTCGCACCATGGCAGACGAATTGTTCGATGCTAAATCCGCGGATGGATCATTCAATCTGGTGAATCCTTCACCGTGCCCGCTTAAAGCAGAGGGAGCCTCAAGCTTCAATCAGCTCCTTCAGGATCACGGCATCAGCCAGGAGCTCACGGATCGGCTGCTCGCCGACGGTTGGGATGCGAAATCTTTTCGCCATGTTGTCTGCCAGGAATCTGAGCTTGCGGGGGTCCTCCCTGAGATGTTCCCGGACACTGAAGTGTCCTTGATGCAGCGTGCCAAGCTGCGAGCCGTCTGGTCGTCGCTGCAGCGACGCGGTAGTAACGATCCTGCTCCTGCAGAACCGCTGGGATCCCCGGCCAAGCAGGGCTCGGGATGGTCGGAAGCCTTCGCCCCCAAGCTTGATGCAACGCGGGTGGCCACGCTCAAAAAACGTTTCTTGGAAGCCTTCCCATCCGAAATCTTGACGGCTATGAATACCCCCTCGCTCCGCCTCTTGAGCACTGCTGTCGACGCCGAGGTTAAGAAGAACTGGTCTTGGATCCCGTGGAAGAGTCGCATGACACAACAGATGTATGAGGATTCCCTCATGCAGAAGCCCGCAAAAAGGGCCAGGATTGAGACCCTTCAGCTTTCGGACCTGTTGCTTGATGAACCGCCACAGATTGATATCAATGATTCCACCATGGGGATTTCAATGATCCGTAGGCTGTTGGAGGTGCATGACAATGCCCTCGCTCTTGCAGGCACCGCGCATCTTGCGCGCCTCAAAGCTTACACCTCTAAGTTCTTGAGCCTGGTTTCGCAAAAATTCCCGCCTGAAACAAACCTTCGGCCCCCCTCTGTGCTGGAAGCTCAGCAGGCGGACAAACACTTGTGGTCGTGCATCTTTCAACTTGTGATCGAGAAAGAATGGCAGGTGAATGATGCGATCTACGAGTTCACGGAGATCCGTGGCGATATGTCGTCATGGCTGCAGCCCCGCGCCAAGGCTGCCTCTGCAGGCAATCGTAGGCCGTATACACCGGGCGGCCGTGACAACCGCCCGCCCACCCCACCGCCAGGTCGTGGCAATGGCAAGGGCAAGGGGAAAGCCAAGAGCCCCACCAAGCAAGGCCCCCAGCCTAGGGGCGTTCCGTGGGTTCGCGAGTACAAGGAGGGCGGCCAGGTTAAAAAATTGTGCATTGGGTGGCAGATCGGGAAATGCCAGCGTGGCAACTCCTGCGAGTTCACGCACGGCTGCGCCTTCCCTAAGCCCGATGGTTCACCCTGCCTTAGCAAGGACCACGGTGCGCCTCAGCACCCTGAGAAGTGACATCATGCGCCCGACTCGCCACCCACAAGTGTTGCCGGGTCCATCCACAGCTGGGGGGAGCTGCCTGCTCCCCCGCCACTGCCACCGCCGATTCCACCATCGCAACAGCACGCCCCCCGGGGCTCGCAAGTTTTGGACTTCAGCTTTCCGCCACTGCCGCCACAGCCCCTCTCTGCCGATTGTACAGTTTCTGTGTCACCGCCTCAGGAGGCCGTACCCTCCGTGCGTCATACTGGTTCAGTGCCTTCGGGGGACGTCGCCCCCTCCACATGCACTTCAAGCACTCCCATTGCGCCGATTCCGCCCGCCAGCGGTACCGCCCCTTTGGGTCACGCACTTGAATTTTCCAATTTCTGTGGGCCGGCCTTGGCAGGCCTCTTCGATTGCATTTTGTGCTCATTGCGGGAAGCCCCTTGGCCCCAACAGGTTCGCCGTGCTCACATCATTTCCGGTGCCCCTTCTGCTTCAGGCTATTTTAATTTCGGGGTTCAGCTTTCTAGGCGTTCTTCACTTACTCAGGTCACCATCGCCCTGCCTGAGCTTTGCAGGGACCTGAATGCCCTATTCAGGTTCCTCTTTCCAAACGAGCACTGGAACGCTTTGTGTGTCTCGCGCAATGGCCTCAGTGCGCTGCATTCCGACTCAGCGAACATTCCTGGCTCACGCAATTTGTCACTCTCGCTGGGCGCCTTCTCGGGTGGCCATCTGTGGATTGAGGACCTCTCCTGCCTCTCGCAAGGCCAGCCGACATCAGTTGCATCTGGCTCGGGCTGGCTGCATGGCTGTGCTATCGACACACATCGCAAAGCCATTAGCTTCGATGGCCGCATTAGACACATGACACTTCCTTTCTCAGGAGAGCGTTGGGCCCTCACAGCCTTTTCCCTGCCTGACGTGTGTTGTGCCGAACTTGAGTTTCTGGGTTTCCCACTGCCGTCTCCCCTCTTGGGTTCTAGTCCTGCCCCTAGTCCCTCTGCCTCCCCCACCTCGCCCGCGGGGCTCGAGGAAGCAGACATCACTTCATCGCACTTACTAGCAGGGACGCACATTCAGGAGGAGTTTCCATCCAGTGGCAACCCTGGGTCAGCCTCCGAGGCGTCCGCAGATGTTCCTCCTGCGCAACATCTCCCTTCAGCACAGCCAATGCCCGGAGTACCGGAAGCCGTCTCGACTACTAAGCAGCGCGAATCTCAGTCGTGCAGGGAACATACAGTCCATTCCAATTCGGCATCGTCTAAGCTGCCACTGAGATGCAAACTGTGGGGAAAACGCTCCACGTCAGGTTTGTTTCTCTCCCACAAGCTTAGGGTTGCACGCCCCTTGTCACCACCGGAGGGCGCTTGGCGAGCTGATACTTGCATTTCTTCCCTCCAGGCGCGTCTTTTTCTCGAGATCACATGGAACAATCACTCGCGCCATCAACTTAGCATGGCTGTCCGTGCTTCAGGTGGAAACTCCCTCACCCTAAGCCCCAGCCTTGACCCGACCCTGGATGTCCTTTGCCCAGACCTCCTCGAGCAGGTCCTCTTCCTTTGCGGCTCGGGAGCGGTCGCGTATCTTGCAGCATCGCCACTAGCCGAGTCAGCAGACTCGCCTGACGACGTGGGTTCCTCCTCGTGGCTGCTATCGGCAATGCACGAGCAAACGGCGGCGGCAAAGGTTTCCCGTTGCACCTGGCTCCTCAGCATTGTACACACTGCAGGGGGTCAAGGGCATTTGGAATTGCCCCCCACTTCTTCTTACTGGTCGTCTGAGCGGCCCCAGGCCTGGCTGCATCAGGGAAACTGTGCTCTGATCTTGATACCCCCATTGCTGTACTCAGACTCAGCTATTCCGTGCCAGCCCCAGCTTTTGGCTGCTTCTTACCGCCCGCTTTCCGCCCTGGCGGTCAGCTCGCCCGCCTTCGCTCCCCCGCAATGCGCAAGTGCATTTGCATCTTCGTTTGCCACGATCGCTGCCCCTCTGCTCCCGGCAGAGGGCCGCGAGCTATCCCTGCAGTCAGTCATCAAGTCTATCCCACGCAAAGGCCTTTTCGCAGGCCCACATGCACTTCATGATGGTGCTGGAAAACGCTCCATTGCCGATTGGAGCAGCCCTGCAAGCCATGATGCATTTCGGGGATTACGCAAAGCCCTGTTGCAATTCTGCATCTCAGCTCGAGCCGACAAACGCTTGCTTGCTCGCGGTTCCTGCCCGTCGAATGAACCGCTTTTCAGCTCTTCCGAAGTGTCCGCAGCCAGGGATCTGGTGTTTCCTTCGCTGGGTATGCAGACCCCGGATAACGCTTGGTATGTGCATCCATACCAACCCATGTGCTTGCACGCGTTTGAAGCCCTGGCACAACATTGTGGCGATCAGGACATTCATCTGTTTCCGCATTTGCGTATGGGTGTGCCAACCGGGTACTTGAATGACATCCCCCCTTCCAACTGTTTCTGGCCTCCCAAAGGCCAATCAGGGGAGCTGATTCCATTGGCGCTCAATCTTGAAAACTGGAAGTCGGCCGATGTGGCTCCTGAGGTCACTTCGCGCCTGCTCCAAGAGGAGTTGGACGCGGGATACTGCTTTAAGTTTGAAGGCACACTTGAGGAGGCGAAAAGTAGATGGCCCGTTGGCCTAGCACTGGGAAAATTGGGGGTTGTTAGGGCTCCGGGGAGGGCCGAACGACTCGTGTTGGACAACAGCGTAGCTGGGACCAATTCTCAGTGCACAGTGCCGGAACGTCAATGTTTCCCGAGCATACACGATGTTTCGCATTCTTTCCCGATTCGCGAGACTTCCGACCGCCAGATGGCCATTTGCATTGATGTCAAGCAGGCGCACAAGCGCTGCCGCATCCGCGACTCCGAGCAGGGCCTGCTCGGCTTCACTTGGCACAACGCGCTATACTTTTTTCGCTGCTGCCCATTCGGAGCAGTTTTCTCACAGCATTGGTGGGGTCGCGTGGGAGGGTGCACTTTGCGCCTGTTACATACCCTGCTGTTCCTGGCCCATGTGGGCCTCCTTTTCGTGGACGACTTCATTTTCAGCCAAGCGGCCAGCCTCATGCCGCTCTCGGGAGCTGTGATATGCCTCTTTCTTCAGATCCTGGGTGTTCCAGTCAGTTGGAAAAAATTACAAATTTCTTGCCGGGTCGATTGGATTGGATGGCGGTTGTGCTTCTCTTCGGGTACGGTTAGTCTCAGGGAAGAAAAACGCTTGCGGCTCCTTGAACAAGTGCGTTCCCTTCTGAGGGGCGGGGGCCGTATCTCTACCAAGGAACTGGAATCCTTTCTGGGCCTTGCCATGTGGGCCTGTGCACTCTTCCCCACTATGCGTGCCATGATGCACCCTTTCTACAAAGACCTTTGGTCTCCGGCTGCCACTAATTTCAGCATTGCTCCGGAATCGTGGCATAGCATCTGTAATTTCCTTGATTCTTCACTCAGGTTTAAGGCCTCACCTCCTCACACTGCCATCCCCGCGGGCGCTAAGCTCCTCTCGGCTCGTCATGTGCCTTTCACAACCCTTGCAGACTTGTCCAAAGTCGCCGTGACGCACAAAAGATTGTGGCTCCGCGTTGAATGCCTTAGCAGCTCGAGGCGGAAACTCTCCTGTGCCTCCATCCGCTCGTTGCAGGCCTTCGAGCGTTGGTTGCAACACGTGGCACCACTCGCCAGCATGCGCCCATCTCAGGTTGCAGACGTTGAGGCCTTCGCCGATGCATCGGCGTCCGGCCCATCTTGCAGTTTGGGGGGTTTTGTTTCTTGTCCGGTTCTAGGCCAGGTTTGGTTCACTGAAACCTTTTCAGTCCAGGAATTTGAAGCAGCAGGCATTCCTTTCGGCAATGACCTGGCTAAGGAGATAGCCAGTTGTGAAGCCCTGGCTCAGGCGGGGCTGATTCTTGCTCTCTCTAGGCTGGCTCCTTGCAGCAGGGTTCCTTTACGCCTCCCGTCCCTCTGCGATAACTCAGGGGCGGAGGCAGGTCTGAATAAGATGTTTTCCACCAAATTTCCCCTAGGCCTCGTTCTTGAACACATCGCCCTCCTGGCGGCCATGCATCGCATCTCTATCGATGTGTCTCATGTCCCAGGTGCCAAGAACTGCAAAGCCGACGCACTTAGCCGGCCGGCTGAGTACCCCACACCTCCAGACTGCCTTCCATGCCAGCGCATACGCTTTGGGCTCTCTGCTCTCTGGGAGCCTTGTCCTGAGGTGCAGATTTTCCCTTCCAGCTTCACCCTTCCTTGGCTTCGCTGAAATCTGCCACCCCCTTCAGCCCACACTTCCTTGGCTTTCTTGAGCGTGCTGTGGGGTGGCAAATTACCTTGGTGCAACAGTCGCCACCCCACAGAAGGCATCCTCGGGTCAACCCGTTTGTATGCTTGCACAGCCGATCTTTGCGATCCCATCGAAAATGAGTGAACCGAGTTTCGGATTGCATTCATTTTCCGTTCTCGGGTTTAGGGTTTAGGATTTTGTCTAGGGTAACGGTTTTCCTTAGCAGAACGTACGGGTGGACTTGTCCACTGGTGTTTTGCAAATGGAAAAACGGTTTCCTTTCTTTTGGTAAAACTGGAAAGTTTTCCTTTATTCGCTTTTGCCAGTGCCTGCATCTTCTTGCCTCGGTACATGTCGTGAAGCTCTGTGCATCCGCACTCCGCTTTGGATCAAGTTGCAGCGAAGTCGCTTCGCAATTTTGATTTCCCACCCGACCCGCCCTGGTTTCGCTTGCGTGCACGCCGGCCTCGCTAGGCCCGGCCTTTGCCGAACGTGCTATCCTTCCTTGCACCTTCACTCTCACTTTGTGCTTTGCCCCTGGCATCCTGCCACGGGCAATGTGCTTGCGCAGGCTGCTGCCTTCACATTGCCATTACTTCTTCTAATGCTGCACACGGCAGCGCGCAGCTGCCGCACCATGTCGTTCGGTGCTCCCTGCTGGGCCCGCCATTGGCCCCAATGCGTTTCACCGCCGTAGTCTGCAGGTCACCTCTTGCTTGTAGCCTCTGCTCTAGCGTGGACTGCTCAGTCCCGGAGGACCCTTCTGGTCGCTCCCTTAGTCTGAAGCTGTCACTCAAGTGTTGTAGCTTCACTCGTAGTTCTTTTGGTCCGTGGGGTGGTGCAACAGTCGCCACCCCACAGAAGGCATCCTCGGGTCAACCCGTTTGTATGCTTGCACAGCCGATCTTTGCGATCCCATCGAAAATGAGTGGACCGAGTTCGGATTGCATTCATTTTCCGTTCTCGGGTTTAGGGTTTAGGATTTTGTCTAGGGTAACGGTTTTCCTTAGCAGAACGGGTCAGGAGTGAGTGAGGGAGCGACTGTGAGGGCCCTGCGTGCTGCAGCGAGCTGGGGGAGGCACCTGGAAAGGGCACCTGGGGGCACAACGACTGTGAGGGGCACCTGGGGGCTCTGACCTGGGACCTGCAGCGACTGTGAGGGCACCTGGAGGCTGAGGGCACCTGGACCTGCAGACTGTGAGGGTATCTGGGGGCTGCAACAGCTCGCCCGCGGCTTCCGCGTCGCCTCGTTGTCGCCGCCTCGTCGTCGTCGTTGCCCTCTATCCTCACCGATATTTCCTCACCCCCGGTCCTCACCACCTATGCCGGTCGTCGCCTCGTCGTGTCGTCGCCCCCCCGCCTCTATCCTCACTGCGCCCAACTCAAACCACCAGCGCCGGTCGTCGTGCGCTCGTCGTGATCCCTCCCGCCGCAAGCCCCACCGATGTCCTCACCGCTATCCTCACCCATCCTCTTGAGTGAGGCTGCACACCCGCGAGGCTGTGGGCACCTGGCGGGCTGCAGGGGCACCTGGCGGCTGCGGAGACTGCTTGGGCTGCAGGGCGCCCAGGCTGCAGCGACTGTGAGGGCTGGGACTGTGAGGGTCCGCTTGGGTGAAGCGACTGCTTGGGGACTGTGATCGCAGAGGCTGCAGCGACTGTGAGGCCGCTTGGCGGGCTGCAGCGACTGTGAGGGCACCTGGGACCTGCAGCGACTGTGGGCACCTGGACACTGTTGCCGCTTCCGCGTCGTCGTCGCGTCGTGGCTGGCAAGTTTTGGCTGGCAACATTTGGTGCGGCCCGGTGGCAACTTTGCCCTGGCAAAATTTGGTGCGGCTCGGTGGCAACGTTTCGGCCGTGTCCTCCTCGTCGCTGCGTCGTCGTCGTCGTCGTTGCCGCGTTGTCGTCGCGTCGTCGTCGTCGCTCTGTCGTCGGGTCGTCGTCGTTGTGGTTGCGTCGTCGCCTCGTCGCCCTCTATACCGCTATCCTCACCCATCCTCTTGGGTCAGGAGTGAGGGGGAGCAATGAGGCCTGGGCACTGCCGCGAGGCTGGGGCACCTGAAGGCTGCAGCGACTGTGAGGGCACGTGGGGGCTGCAGCGGGGGAGAGGCTGTTGTCGTCGCCGCGTCGTCGTGTCCCACCTCGGCGCGGCTCGGTAGCGACATTTCGGTGGCGACATTTCGGTGGTGACATTTCTGGAGCCACATTTCGGTGGCAACATTTCGGTGGCACCATTCGGGCGCGGTCCTTGTCGCCGCGTGTTCGTTGTCGCCTCGTCGTCGCGTCGTCGTCGCCGCATCGTCGTCGCAGCGCCTTTGGGGTTAGGTGAAGAGGAGCAGTGAGGCCCGTGAGGCTGAGACCGCTGGGGCTGCAGCGACTGTGAGGGGCACCAGGGGGCTGCAGCGACTGTGCACCTGGGACCTGCAGCGACCGTGAGGGGCACCTGTGGGGGCTGCAGACCGCCGCGTCCACGTCGTCGTGTCGCATCGTCGTCGCGTTGCATCGTGGTCGCGTCGTCGTCGCGTCGTCGTCGCGCCGCCCTCACCTCTACCCCGCTATCCTCACCCCATCCTCTTGGGTCAGGAGTTATAGGACCCGCGGGAGGGGTGCAGCGCTGCGCATGCCTGGGCTCTGTGAGGGTGTGGTTCGGCGCAATGACGGCACCCAGCGAGGGCACCTGTGAGAGGGCACTTGGGGCCTGGTGAGCTTGAGTGGGCAGTGAGGGTGTCTGTGAGGGCGCCTGCATGAAGCCTTTGCATCCAGTGAAGGCACGAGGGCAGCCGGGGCTGTGAGGGCACCCATGGACCTGCAGCGATTGTGAGGGGGTGGCAGCGACCTCACGTTTTGACTGGTTGCGCCGCAAAAACAGAGAACCCCGAGGGCTCGGAGACAAATATAGCACCGGCGCTGTCAAGATCCTGTCCATGCAGTCCCACGCCGTGTCCCATCCAGCGCTCCCCTTTCCTCTGATGAGAGGATATTTGAGGACCCCAGCAGTTCCTGTTAGTGGAAACCCCACAAAAGCACCAAATACGTCGATTTTGCAATACGTGCTCCTTTTCCGGTGGCCATTTCCAAGGCCCCTCGGATTTTCAGAGGATTTCCGGCTTCCAAGGCCGCCGAAAGGGAAAACTCCACAAAAGCACCAAAATCGTCGATTTTGCAGTATCGCTCCTTTTCCGGAGGCCATTTCCAAGGCCCCTTCGGAATTCAGGAATTTCCGGCTTCCAAGGCCCGAAATGGTGGAAACCCCACAAAAGCAGTCGATTTTGCAGTGCCCGCTCCTTTTCCGGAGGCTATTTCCAAGGCCCCTCGGATTTCTTGGATTTCAAGCTTCCAAGGCCACCGAAAAGGGTGGAAACCCACAAAAGCACCAAAATCGTCGATTTTCCAATACGTGCTCCTTTTCCGGAGGCCATTGCCAAGGCGCCTCGGATTTTCAAGTGGATTTCCGGTGTCCAAGGCCCGAAATGGGAGAAACCCCACAAAAGCCCCAAAATCGTCGATTTTGTAGAACGTGCTCCTTTTCCGGAAGCCATTTCCAAGGCCCCTCGGATTTTCAAGGATTTCCGGCTTCCAAGGGGGGGGAACCCCACAAAAGCACAAAAATCGTGGATTGTGCACTACCCGCTCCTTTTCCGGAAGCCATTTCCAAGGCCCCTTCGGATTTTCAAGGATTTCCGGTTTCCAAGGCTGCCGAAATGGGGGAAACCCCACAAAAGCACCAAAATCGTCGATTTTGCAGTACCCGCTCCTTTTCCGGAGGCCATTTCCAAGGCCCCTCGTATTTGCAGGATTTCCGGCTTGCAAGGCCGCCGAATGGGGGGAACCCTACAAAAGCAGCAAAATCGTAGATTTTGCAGTACGTGCTCCTTTCCCGGAGGCCGTCGTCCTCACCGGTATATCCTCACATCTATCCTCACCGGTATCCTCACCGCTATCCTTACCCGGTCCTCACCGCCGCGCCGTCGTCGTCGTCTCCACGCCGCCGTGTCATCGCCGAATCCTCACCGGAGTCCTCACTGCTATCCTCACCCCGCGCCGTCATCGCCGCCTCGTCGCCACTATATCCTCACCATTCCTCACCGCTGTCCTCACCCCGGCGTCGCCGCGGCGTCGCCTCGTCGCCGCGTCGTCGCCTCGTTCCTGCGGTATCGGCCCACGTTGTCCGCTGCGATATCACCCGCTATCCTCACCTCTATCCTCGCCTCTTCCTCGCCTCGTTCCGGCCTCGTCGTCGCCCGTCCTCACCCACTCTCCTCACCCGCTTGGGTCAGGAGTGCAGCGCCTGCAGCGAGGCATCCGTGAGGCATCCGCTTAGGGCAGGCGCACCCACGCACGTGGCAGACACCTGCAGCGAGGCTGGGGGCTGCAGAAACTTGTGAGGGCACCTGTGACCTGCAGCGACTGTGAGGGCCTGGAACGGTTGGGGGCTGTGGATTGTGAGGGACATGGGACCTGCAGCGACTGTGAAGGTGTCTGGAAGGCTGCAGCGAGGGCACTCGGCAGCGAGGGCATTCGGCAGCGAGGGCACCTGTGAGGCACCTGGAGAGACTGCGTCACCGCGTCGTACCGGAGGCGGCTGTGCAACCAGGTGCACCCACGTCTCGCATCGTCATCGCGTCGTCGTGGCCGCGTCTCGCTCCCATCGTCGCCTCGTCGTCCCATCGTCGCCTCGTCGTCCCAGCCTCGCCGCGTCGTCGCTCGTCGTCGCCGCGTCGTCTTCGTCGCGTCGTCCCCGCCGCATCGCCGTCGTCGTCAGCCGGTTCACCGCCGCCCCCTCAGTTGCGCCTCGGTGACTGCCGTCAGCTTCCGAGCCGCTCGCCCGTCACCGCTCGCCGTCGTCGCCGCAGGCCATCATCAAGCGTTCACACGAATGCACCTAACACGCAACGCCGAGCGGCTCTTCAGCCCTGGTTTCAAGTCTCGCAGCTGCCTGACCTCGCTTTACGCTCCGTGCTTGTGCTTTACCAAAGTCTCGATCGGAGTTGTTAGAAGGTTGGGGGTAGAGCTGCACTTTTCCCGCAGAGGGCAGCTCTCCAGGCATGCATTTCACGATGTTATGGTCGCCGCTGTTCACGGTGGTCGCCCTGCGCCTGCACGCCGGTGCTTACGCCGATGAGGTCGAGGTGGGCCGGGCTCGGCAAGGAGACTGCAGTGCGCTGGGCTTGGAAGCTTGGAAAGTGCTGGGGCTTGGGGACTATGCGGAAGTTGCAAGGCTGCAAGGCCTCCAGCCTCCAAGCTGGGCTTGGAGGCTGCACCGTCCCATCGTCGTCAGTCGGCGCACCCAGCTGCAATCAAGTGCATTCAGGTACACACCGCCGCTCCCTCCCTTGTGCCGCCCGGCCCCGCCGCCCCTCCTGCCCCGTCGTCGTCGCCGTGTCGTTGTCGCGTCGTGCTCTATACCTCTATCCTCACTCTCACTGCCGCGTCCGCCGCGCTGCTTTACTTCTACGCCTACCACGTGAAGGCACCAAGCTCCTACGTCCCCGCGTCGTCGCCGCATCGTCGCCGCGTCGTCGTCGCTGCGTCGCCACATCGTCGTCGTCGTCGGCGTCGTTGCGTCGTCGCGTCGTCGCGTCGTCGTCGCGTTGTCGCCGCGCCGTCCTTCTTGCCATGTTCTTGCGTCGTCGTCGCATCGTCGACGTCGTCGTCGTCGTCATCGCCGCGTCGTCCCCCTTCGTTGCCGGGTCGTCGTCGCCGGGTGGTCGTCGTCGCGCCGCAAGAAAAAACAACCGTTCCTGGCCTCTTTTTGGGACCCTTGCAAAGGAGGCCTGCAGCACCTGGCCTACCTGTGAGCTGCGAGGGCACCTAGTGAGGGCACCTGGTCAAAGGAGCGGGCACGGGCACCGGTGCCGCAAGCACCGGGCAAGGGCACCTGGTCAGGCACCTGGTGAGGGCACTTGGGTGTGGGCACCGTGAGGGCAGGGCGCCCTATACCCACAACTCTTTTCATAAGGTTCTCATCAGCCCAGTTCTCCAACCCAGTTAAGGTGCCATGTGATGAGGTGACCTGCCACCGCGTCGTCGCCGCGCTGCCTTTATCACCTTTATCCCACCAAGTGAAGGCACCAAGCGCCTACGTCCCCGCGTCGTCGCCGCCGCTCCCTCTGCCTCTGCCTCTACCCTACCTCGCCGCGTCGTCGTCGCGTCGTCGTCGTCGTCACTGCACCGTTGTGGTCGCGTCGCCGCCGCATTGTTGTCGCCGTGTGCAACATTTGGGGTAACGCGGCTCTGGGGTAACATGTGGGGTAACATAATTTGGGGATCTCTAATGGTCTAGAGGCCACGGCACAACAGAGAACAGCGGTATCCACACAGGTATCCACGCGGGTATCCACGAAGCTTTCGCATCCTCGCCGCTATCCTCACCCCTATCCTCACCGGTATCCTCGCCGCTATCCTCACCTGCTTGCCGCCGTGTCGTCGTCGCCCGTGTTCGCTGGTATCCTCATCTCCTCGCCACCGCGTCGTCGTCATCCGTCCTCGCTTCTATCCTCGCCACTGTCCTCGCTGGTATTCTCACCTCCTCGACGCCGCGTCGTCGTCATCAATCCTCGCTTCTAGCCTCCCCCCCCTGTCCTCAGCGGTATCCTCACCTCCTCGCTGCCACATCGTCGTCATCCGTCCTCGCTTCCATCCCACCGGCATCCTCACCGCTATGATTGTCCTCACCGGCGGTATCCTCCCCTCCTCGCCGCCGCGTCGTCGTCATCCGCCCTCGCTTCTATCCTCACCGGTATCCTCACCGCTATCCTCATCCTCACCGCTATCCTCGCCCGCCGCGCCGCCGTCGCACCGTCGTCGCCGCGTCGTCGTCGTCGTCGTCGTCGTCGTCGTCGCATCGTCGTCGTCGTCGTCGCATCGTCGCCGTGCTCGCACCGCTGCTCCGCTGCCCCGCGTGCTCCCCCTGCATGGCATCGCACCGTCGCTGGAATCGAGGCCTAGGACCCCCCCACTGCGTCCCACCAACAGTCCGGCATGCATGGCATCTGCGGCAGCCCTCGCCGTGTCGTCGTCGAAGCGTCGTCCCCGCATCGCCGTCGTCGTCGCCGCGTCGTCGTCGTCATCGCCGTCGCATCGTCGTTCCTCGCCGCGTTGCCGTCGTCGTCGCCGCCGTGATGCCGTCGCGCCGTCCGAGACTGCGGCCGTCGTCGGTCCCAGCATCGTCGTCACCGTCGCCGTCGTCCGAGAGCCGCGCGACGCCCCACCGCGTCGTCGCCGCATCGTCGCATCCTCGCCGTCTGCCCTCGCCCTGCCCTCCGCGCGCCGTCGTCGCGGCCTGTTCCCGGCCTATTCGCCCGCCGTCGTCATCGTCGCGTCGTCATCGTCGCCATCTGAGACACTTGCGACATCCGAGTCGATCGTTGTCGTTGCCCCTCTTTCCAGCCCTGCAGCCCATCGTCGTCGTCGGTCGTCGTCGCCACCGCCGGCGTGGCCAATCGCCACGGAGCCTGTCGTAAACCGCTGCCGCAGCTTTTGCCGCAACAGCCTGATGCAAGCCCTTAGCAGCAGCAGCAGCCCTGCAGCAGGCAGCCCCAGCAGCAGGCAGCCCCAGCAGCAGCAGCCGGCAGCACCACCCAAGCAGCAGTGCAGCAGCGGCCGTAGCAGCGCAGCAGCCAGCAATCAGCAAAGCGGTGCCCACGACTTGGACATGGTCTTTGTTTCAATATTTCGTGGCTTTTATCTTTTGCGCTGGCCAGAGATGTTGGAGCTGACCTCAAATCAGGCATGAAAATCAGTAGAAAGCAGAAGGCAAGCCTCACCGGTACTAAAATATGTGACCGACAAGGATACCCGACAATGTGTATGGAAGATAGGAATCCTGAAATTTGCTAAGTATGGATACGTTTGCGCGCATTTTGGCCATGATTTGTTTGGAATTCGTTTTCTTCGCTTATGCGGGGTGACGAGGCGGGCTTTCCTTCATCTATCGGCAGGTGCGCCGACAAGTGGATGAGGCAGGTTGTGCAGCTGCGACTTGCGGGTTGAGCGCTGCCACCTTGCTGCACGGTGCTTTAGTTGAAAGTCTGGAGAGCTTTACAAAGCCGCCAAGCAAGTGCCCCGCCAAGCGTCCCGCCGCTCCATCGACGGAGGACTCGTAGCTCAGAGTGCTCCACTGTTTCGTGATCCAGCCTGGCAGGACAATTTGTGGGATCGTCAGCTGCGACTGGACCTGCTCGAGATCGCGCAGGACCGTTTGAAGATCGCGAGGTTTTGGCGGCCAGGGCCTCGGTCCAGGTGTGCAAGTCGATGAGTTGGCGGCTGGCTTGGCTCCCCTTTTGGAAGAGGCGGGCTTTCCTGTATCATTCCCCCGATTTTTTCAACATGAGCATGCCAGCATGCTGCTGGAAGGTGCGGGTTATGGTCCAGCCTCCAACGAGTGGAGGAGGCCTGTTGTGCAATTGTTGTTCGCGCGGGTTTGCATTGCAACTTGCTGATGGAGAGAACCTACGTTGCCTCCGTGCGGCGCAGTGCTTGAGTTCAAATTCGAAATGATGTCAGAGAAGCGTCGCGCCGCTGAGCCGCCGGAGGACGGCGTCAACGCGAGTTGTTTGGAAGTTTGGTTGCCGGAAGCTTTTGTGTTGTGCAGGAGCGAGGACCAAAAGCTGCTAGATCCGAAGATGAGGCGCGATTTGAGATCGGCTCTTAGCTCAGACGTACTCCACTCTGTGTTGTGATCCGGCCTGGCAGGTTAATACTGCAAAGCGGCAGCTGCAACTTGTGCTGGAGCAGCAGGGGCTCGCTCAAGACCAATGGAAGGAAGCTGGAGACCAAGCGAAGCTGAATGCGGTTCAGTATTGCTGGCATGGTCTTATGGCCTAGGTGTGCAAGTCGATGAGTTGGCAGCTGGCTTGGTTCCCCTTTTGGTCGAGGCTGGCTTTCATTTAGCATGCACAAGTTTTGTGAACATGAGCATGCCAGCATGCTGTTGGCAGGTGCGGGCTATGGTCCGGCCTCCAACAATTGAACGAGGCCTGTTGTGCAGCCGTTGTTGCGCGGGTTTGCATTGCAACTTGCTGGTGGAGAGAACCTCCGTTGCCACCGTGCGGCGTAGTGCTTTGGTTCAAATTCTGGAGAGATTCGCAATGCCGCCAGAGAAGCGCCTCGCCGCTGGGCAGCCGGAGGAGGGCGTCAATGCGAGTTTCTTGGAAGTTTGGTTGGCGGAAGCCTTTTCTTGTGCAGGAGCCGCCGCCAAAAGTTGCTAAACAGGCACGGCCGGGTATGCTGTGCAGGATTTGAGACGGGATCGTAGCTGAGACCTGCCCAACTGCATTCCGCAATCCAGCCTGGCAGGAAAGTGCTTGGGAGCAACAGCTGCGACTGGCGCTGCAGGAGAAGGCGATAGCAGTGGGGATATTGCAGAAGGCCGCAGAGGCCAACGACGAGACGAAGATCAAAGCGGCCAAGGAGGAGGTCGAGGCGGCCGAGACGAAGATCAAAGCGGCCAAGGAGGAGGTCGAGGCGGCCGAGAAGAAGGTCGCGGCGGGTCCAGCCCAGGCCAGGTCAGCTTGCACTTGAGGGGCTAGTTTTGGTGCATGAGGGTCGACTCAGGTCGCGGTAGCTTCTAGATTTGGTGCTGTAGACGTTCGCTGCTTGAGGAATTGCCGGGACCGACTGTGCCGGTGGATTTGGGCGATTTCGGGCTCCTCGAGCTTGGGGAGTTCAAGGCCGACGAGCTGCTCGACGTCAAGCAGTTCATGGACTTCGTGGCACCCAACACGACCGCTGACAGACCGCTCTTCCTGCGAAAGCATCTCCTCAACGTGCACAACAAGGCAGTGGAGGCTTTGCAGGCGGAGAAGATTCGCCTGGTGTCGCTGGTCGGCTGCCCCGGCACCGGCAAGACGTGGTGCGGGTGGCTGGTGGCCTACACCCTGCAGAAGGTGGGCAAGAAGACCCTGCACCTCACCATCAGGAACTCGACCGTGACGGCCATCGCCAACTTCCAGGTGAAGAAGCAGTACACGAAGGTGAGCTGGAACGAGTACATGCTCGAGCAGGTCCTGAGAGAGTCGGAGTGCCAGGTCTGCATCGTGGACGTGAGCATGGACAAGCCGGATGCGGCCACCGACATCTTCATCGGCATCCGGCAGCTGATCGAGGACGGAAAGTTCGCTGACGTGAAGTTCATGGGGCTGCTGTCGGGCCACGGCCAGGAGAAGATCACAGGCAAGCAGCTGCCTCTGCAGGTCATACAAACGCTTGTGCTTTGGAGCTGGAGCGAAGAGGAGGTCACCACCCTACGTACAAAGCTGAAAGATGCAGGTTCGAAGCCTCCATCTGACGAGGCCTACACGGTGTGTGGAGGATCTGTGCGGTATCTCTTCCGATGCGAAGAAGACGAGAAAAGAACTAGAAAAGCCGTGAAAGGGCTCTCCCAAGATGAGATGAAGAAGTTGCTTGCCCTGGATATGACCTTAGACGACCAGCAGGGGAAGAACCGCAGCAGACTTCTCTCGTTCTTTCCCGCCAGTGGTGCTTCCAACGCAGAGGATGCGACCTTCGCAGAGGGCGTCAGCGAAGCACGGCCGATGCCCCGCTCCGACTTCGTCATCAAGTGCATCAAGCAGAACCAGCACGCGAAGTTTGAGGAGGTGCTGAGCATGTACGGGAAGCTCTCGGGCATGAACCCAGGCGCCGCCGGAAGTGCCTTCGAGGTCTTGGTCCACCTGTTCTGGCAGGAGGCTGCCGCGAATAAGCAGAAGGTGGGGCTTTCACTTAAGGTTGGGGGCAAGGAGATCGCCAATGTGGAAGTGGATTGCGCAGAGTTCCCGCAAAGCCCTAAAAGTATCGAAGAGTATGACAAGGAGGCCGTCGCAGTCCACAACAACCTTGTGGGCTACTTCACGTCTGACAGCCAGCGATATCCTGTGCTCGACAGCATTCTCAGGTTCAAGTTTGCCGGGAAGACCGAGGTGTTGGCCATCCAGATCAGCATTGCAAAGGAGCACAAGCATGGCCCGCTTGAAGACCAGCCGCAGTTGCTGCCGCCTGCGCCAACCAAGCCGCAGTTGGCTTTGTGGGACTTTCGCAAGGGAGAGAAACCCTGCGAGTGGAAGCCCAAAGATTCTCATGACTGGGAGCTGCTGCACGTTAGCTGCCAAGACTTTGACAAGCGGATGGGGTGCAGTTGAAAAGTTTCCGGGAAAGCGCAGTGTTTGAGCAAGGGTCCTTTGTTTGAGGGTTGCCTTCTTGCTCGCGTCAATTCTGCAGGTCGTTCCACGGCACCTGGGCCTCGCCCCAAGCATGCACTGTTCCAGCAGTGTAAGTTGTTAGAGGCACCTCGTGAGCTGTTTGGCCTGCTCTGCCATGTATGTTTTTGGGAGGTCCTTGCCATGCGATTCGACCTTCAGGCATCGGAGGTTTCCGCTGGGACCCTCCATCTCGGCGAACGCCGGGTGCACAGAGGTTTCAAGCTTCTTTGGAGGTTGCAAGCAAGGGGTTCTGAGGCTGCGAGTTTCTGCTGCAGTAGGTGTCAGAAGTGCCCTGTGCTGCTCCCCCCCTCACCTCTCCCGTAATCTAGAGTGTTGTGCGCCTCCTCCCATCCCGGGAACCCCGGGCCCCTCTCCTGCGACCAGGTGCGCTTCGTGACCTTCGGCTTCTTCGACAGCTTCCAGCAGAGGTGGGGTTAGTGAAGGGTTTCTGAGTGCTTCGAGGCCGTGTTCTGCGCGGCTGTGTGCTCTAGGAGTGCTGCGTCCCTTCCTTCCCCAAGACCCCCGACCCTTTTCTCTGCGCAGGTGCTCGTATCTTCGTCGTCCGCCTGGTGACTCGAGGCAGGGTCTAGGGTTTAGCGGAACTGAATCTCGCGGTGTGACAGGGCAGGGCCCGAAAGCGTGAAATGAAATCCTGGCCCCTTTTGCGTCGGGACTCGGGACTGGGAGGCGTGACCCCGTGACCCCTTTCGGGCGGGACTGGGAGGCGTGACCCCCGTGACCCCTTTTGGGCGGGACTCGGGACTGGGACGCGTGACCCCGTGACCCCTTTTGGGTCGGGACTCGGGACTGGCAGGCGTGACCCCGTGACCCCTTTCATTCGGGAGTGGGAGGCGTGACCTCGTGACCCTGGACGCGTGACCCCGTGACCCCGTGACCTTTTTTGGGTCGGGACTCGGGACTGGGACGCGTGACCCCGTGACCCCTTTCGGGCGGGACTGGGAGGCGTGACCCCGTGACCCCGTGACCCCTTTTTGGGGGACTGAGCGTGACCCCGACCCCTTTTGGGTCGGGACTGGGAGGCGTGACCCCGTGACCCCGTGACCCCCTTTTGGGTCGGGACTGGGAGCGTGACTCCGTGACCCCGTGACCCCCTTTTGGGTCGGGGGTGGGAGCGTGACGGCGTGACCCCATATGAGGGTTTTCGTGGGGGCGACGGGGGGGTCACGGGGTCACGGGGGTCACGCGGGCCACGCGGCGGGTCACGGGGGTCACGGGGTCACGGGGTCACGGGGGTCACGGGGTCACGGGGGCGCGTGGGGGGTACGGGGTCACGGGGTCACGGGGCTTACGGGGGGTTGACGGGGTCACGGGGTCACGGCGCTTATGGGGCGGCGAGGTCACGGGTTCACGCGGTCACGGCGCATGACGGGGTGACGGGGTCACGGCGCTTACGGGGGGGTGACGGGGTCACGTCGCTTTTGGGGGGGGGGGGGCGGTGACGGGGTCACGGGGTCACGCGGCGGTGCTCGGTCACGGGGTCACGGCGCTTATGCGGGGTCAACCGGGTCACGGCACTTACGGGGGGTGGGGTCACGGAATCACGAGCTTACAAAGGGTGACGGGGTCACGCTTACGGGGGGGTCACGGGGGGGTCACGGGGGGGCGGGGGGTCACGGGGCTGACGGGGCGGTTACGCGGCGGTTACGGGGTCACGGGGGTCACGGTCACGGGGGCCGCGGGGTCATGGGTCACGGGGGCCTTTCGGGGGGGGGGTCACGGGGTCACGGTGCTCACGGGGTCACGGGGTCACGGGGTCACGGGGGCCATGCGGGGTCACGCGGTCACGGGGTCACGGGGTTACGGGGCCACGCGGGGTCACGGGGGTCACGGGGTCACGGGGGCCTTTCGGGGGGTGACGGGGTGACGGGGTCACGGAGGTCACGGGGTCACGGGGCTGACGGGGCGGTTACGCGGCGGTTACGGGGTCACGGGGTCACGGGGTCACGGGGTTTGTGGGGAAGTCACGGGGTCACGGACGGGGTTACGCGGTTCACGCTGATCGGGGTGCTCGAAAGATTGCAGGCCCTTCACTGCCCACCAGGCCCTCCCACCCCCACCAGGCCCTCCCACCCTGAGACTGGGGCCAGGGTTTCACATTTCACGGGCCTTTCAGGGTGGCAAGGTTTCACATTTCATGGGCTTTGGGGGAGTGTGCCGTGTCGCCGCAAGGCCCGATCCCTGCTGAGAACCCCGACCGAGGCATCTTGCAGCAGTTGCTTGTGCACACCTGGCCACACTTGCAAATGCTGCGCATGTTGAATTGCAGTTGGTAAACTAAAAACTTGGCCGGTGACTGAAACAGGTGGAACTCGATCATTCGTTCATGCAGATTGCAGTGCTTTTGCTCGAGCCAGAGGACAGCTAGGACGATTGCCGCCATGAGCAGGCCTCCAGCAACACTGCGCAAGGTCGGGCGCGTGTTGGTGCTACTGGCTTTCTTCTTGGTGTGTCAGCCAGAGCCTAAGACCAGCGCCTTGAACACTGTTAGATGTGTCCCCGCGTAGCTTCAGGCGAGCGACGCAGACGGCGCGGGCTTTGCTTGGAGCGGGGGCCGTGCCGTTTCCAAGGTGGGATGTGATGTATGGCATGGAACGCCGAAGATCCGCAAGCCAGCGCGAGGTCGGTTCCTCCGGGAATATGGGCACAGAACTTGCTGGTCGCACGCAGGGCCAAGGCGGGAAGCCGAGACCGACAGGAAATTCAGTGTTAAGCGTGTGTCCTGAAGAGCTGAGGCTGATGGCACTTTGGGCCGTGGTGAGGCCGAAGACCATGAAGACGTCAAGGCGAAAAGGGTTTGTCGTTTCGGCGTGGCGTTCCTTGTGATGTTCTGATGGCGTTTCCTTCGCTCCTGCCCGAGTGTGTCATTTTCTGACCAGGGGCCTCTGCAACCTCGTGAAGACGAAGATAAGGCGAGGTTTGCTTGTCCTTTCGGCGTGTGTTCGGATTTCGCATCGAAAGCTGCTCGGCGGGAGCATCGGACTAATTTCGAGGAGCTCGAGGGATTGGTTGGAACGGTCCTGCCAGCAGCACATGTAAGTCTTCTCGGGTCAGTCCATGCTCGAAGGCCTCAGAGAAGGATCAGGATGAGGTGGAAGAGGCGACGACCGAGGCGTTCTTGCTGGTGAGGGCTTCACAGTTCTAGCAAGCTTCGAGCAGGCGGGTGAAGGCTCGCTGAAATTAGCATTGTTGAGAATGTGCCCCTTGCCGCAGGGTTCGCGAAACAAGGCAATGGATGAGGCGCTTTGCGGTGGCTCTTGCTTAAGTGTTTTTTGTCCTTTCGGTGTGGTGGGCCAGGGAGCTTCAGACGCATTTCGATGAGCTTGAGGGGTTGCTTATGCAGGCTGCCTCAGCACAGACGGCTGACCCGGTTGAAGATGCCAAGCAGGCTGTGCCTCCGAGGGTGTTGTTGCTTGCTTGTCTTGCTTGTTGTGGGCCATTGCGGGCTGAGTCTGAGCGGGCTATTTGAAGTTCGCAATTGCAGATTGTGGTGCGGAGTGAGTGTCATTTCCTGGACAGCGCAGGCTTCGGAGCCTTCGGAAAGTGAGGACGACGAGGACAAGGCCAGGTTTGTTCGTCCTTTCCGTGTGTTTTGGATTTCGCATCGAAAGCTGCTCGGCAGGATGTCGAGGAGCAGGCTGCCTCTGCGCAGCCCGCCGACCCGGTCGAAGATGCCCCCAAGGCCTCCGAGCGTGCTGTTGGTTTGCGCTTCTGCTCTTTGAAGATCCCATTGCAGACTGTGGCCTTTGCCCCTGCTGGTGCAGGACGAGCCGCTGCAGCAAACAGCTCTGGTGAACGAGGAGGCTCCGGTCAAAACCGCAAACAGATGTGTTTGGCAAACACGGCGGCAAAAGCACAGGAAAGCATCCCTGCACTTGGCAGGATCTGGCCACAGCCCGACGATTGCAAAAAGTGGCCATCAATCAGCTGGAAACGGCACAGCAGGCGGTTGACACCCTGCAGAAGGTGTGGCTACAAGAATTGGAAGCCCGCGGCAACACCGAAGAGGCCAAGGAGGCGGAAGCAAAGCTCAAGGAGGCGGAAGCAAAGGTAAACAAGGCCGAGCAGAAGTACAAGGAAGCCCAGCAGAAGTACGAGGAGGCCCAAGCGAAGGTCCAGGCAGGACCAGCGCAGGCCGGGGGGCTTCTGCGCTTCTGCGTGTGCGGTTGTTGCTGTTACCGTTGGGTTGCAGCACTCCCGCGTGCGTTGTCGTGCGGTCCAACCGTTTTTGCTTTTGGGGTCATGCTCTCCTCGCAGCAAGGATTCTGCTCGTCGTTAAGCCGTTTTCACTGCGTTGGCTTGCAGCACTTCGGGGAGCCGGAGGGGCTCTTGGCTGCTGCAGGTTGAGGCAAATCTGGTGCTCTTCGTGTTTTGCCGATGCTTCAGAACGGGGTGTCAGTTCTAGGCTCGAGGTGGGGGGGTCAGCCTGTTTTGCGCTCGCTTTGCGCTCGCCAGGTTGCGGTTGCTTTCGTTTGAGGCTCGACTTTCAGGTTACTGTGTCCGTGACGGGGGGTCAAGGGAGTCAACCCTGGGTGCCTTTAGCACACGGACTTTGAAGAGCAGTGGGGTTCCGGCAAGACTAGTGCAGGCTGGGGGCTTCTGCGTGGGCATGTTGCCTTTGGCTTGTAGCACTCCTGCCTGCCCGGGGCTCTTGGTCGTCGTGCGTTTTCGTGCGGTCCACCGTTTTTGCTGTTTGCTCCTCTCAGCAAGGGTCAGCTCGTCGTTAAGCTTCACTGTGTTGGCTTGCAGCACTTCGGGGAGCGGGAGGGGCTCTTCGCTGGTTTAGGTTTCATGCCAGTCGTGTTTTGCCGAGGGTGTCAGTCCGAGGCTCGAGGTGGGGCGGGGGGCTTGCGCGATTCTGCATGTGCGGTTGTTGCTGTCGCGTTTGTGCTCTCCTCTCAGCAAGGGTCAGCTCGTCGTTAAGCTTCACTGTGTTGGCTTGCAGCACTTCGGGAGCGGGAGGGGCTCTTGGCTGCTTCAGGTTCAGGCAAATCTGGTTGCCCTTCGTGTTTTGCCGACGCTTCAGAACGGGGTGTCAGTCCTAGGCTCGAGGTGGGGGAGGGGTCAGCCTGCTTTGCGCTCGCTTTGCCCTCGCTCTCCAGGTTGCGGTTGTTTTTGTTTGAGGCTCGACTTTCAGGTTACTGTGTCCGTAAGGGGGGCGGGGGGGGTCAAGGGGAGTCAACCCTGCGTTCTAAGTGCTTGCTTTTAGCACGCGGACCTTGAAGAGCAGTGGGGTTCCGGCAAGACGAGGGCCGGCCGGGAGCTTCTGCGTGGGCATGTCGCCTTTGGTTTGTAGCGCTTGTCTTTGGTTTGTCGCACTCCTGCATGTCCGGGGCTCTTGGTCGTCGTGCGTTTTCGTGCGGTCCACCGTTGTTGCTTGTTGGGGTAATGCTTTCCTCTCAAGATCTCCTTGTGGTTAAGCTGTCTGCACTGTGTTGGCTTGCAGCACTTCGGGGAGTGGGAGGGGCTTTCGGAGCAGGGTCTTGGCTGCTTCAGGTTTCACGCAAGTCTGGTTGTCCTTCGTGTTTTACCGGGTGTTGGTGCTGGCAGTGAGGCTAGAGGTGAGGGTCTGCGTTGCTCTCAGGCTGCAGTTGTTTTTGCGTATGAGGTTCAGGTTACTGTATTTGTGCTTGTGTGCTTGGCCACCCTGCTGTCACTGTCGGTGTTGTTGTCTTTCTTGATTTGTCGGGGTCGCGCAGGGCCCGAGACGCCAGCGTTTTGCAGGGCAGCAGGTCACAGGGCACCAGGTGAAGCTTCATGTGTGCTTGTGTCGATGCTCGGCTTTTGCACTAAGTGCCAATGCTTCTCTCTGATCTGTTATGAAGGGCCCGCTTCACTGTGTTGGCTTGCAGCACTTGGGGAGGGCGAGGGCTTTCGGAGCAATTGGCTGCTGTAGGTTCAATCAAATCTGGATGCTCTTCCTGTTATGCCGATGCTTCAGAACGGGGTGTCAATCCTAGGCTCGAGGTGGGGGAGGGGTCAGCCTGTTTTCCGCTCGCTTTGCGCTCTCCAGGTTGCGGTTGTTTTTGTTTGAGGCTCGACTTTCAGGTTACTGTGTCCGTGAGGGGGGGTCAAGGGAGTCAACCTGGGTTCTTAGTGCTTGCCTTTAGCGCGCGCACCTTGAAGAGCAGTGGGGTTCTGGCAAGACGAGTGCCGGCCGGGGGCATGTTGCCTTTGGCTTGTAGCACTCCTGCCTGCCCGGGGCTCTTGGTCGTCGTGCGTTTTCGTGCGGTCCACCGTTGTTGCTTTTTGGGTGATTTCTTCCTCTCAGCGCTTTTCGGAGCAGAGGGCTCTTGGCTGCTTCAGGTTTCACGCGAATCTGGTTGCACCTCGTGTTGTTGTTTTCGAGTGGAAGGCACCTTCGTGTCTCAGGCAAAGGTTATACGCAAATCTGGTTGCACCTCGTGTTTTGCCGAGAGGAAGTCACCTCTGTGGCTCAGGCAAAGGTTTCACACAAATCTGGTTTCTGTTCCTGCTTTTTGAACCCTGCGTTTGTTCTGAATGCTTGCAGTTAGGATCGAGGTGAGAGGGTCTGGCTCTCGGGCTGCAGTCGCTTTTGCGTATGAGGCTCAGATTACTTGACCGCCCTGCTGTCGCAGTTTCGTCGGTGTTGTTGTCTGTCTTGATTTGTCCAATGCTTCTCTTTGGTCTGTTATGAACGGCCAGCATGTTCGCGAAAACATGAAACAGGGTAGGAACCTGCTAGTCGGTTTTCTCCCTCCTTGCCGATGTTCGGTTTGTTGTGATTGTCAATCCCTTGTGCATGGCCAGGACCTGTTGGCCATCCCCGACTCAACTGGGCACTCGGCTTCTGACCTGCTGGCCATCAAAGACCGGCTGCAACAACTGTTGTCTCGCAACCTCCACGCGGAGCCAAATGATGCAGACTATGTGAACCACGAGGACACATCCAAAGCATTTCTTTCGGAAGTCAGCACGATGTTGGAGCACTTCAAAACCAGCAGGCGGTTGAACAAAGCTGACAGTCCGCTGCTGGAATACGCCACCATGAGCGGTGCTGGCAAAACGCGTTGGGGCTTCCATGTTGAGCGGTTGCTGAAAGCAGAACTCCCCGACTGTGCTATACTTCGTGTGGGGCTGAACTTTAATGGCGGTTCTGGCGGCGGCGATGCTGATCGCACCGAAGCAGTTCATCTTCTCAGTACTCAGAATTTCTCCGACCAACAAACCATGGCCTGTCTTCTTTTTGCTCGGGGACTCCTACAATGCTCGCCAGACGCCGTCCGTCATTTTGCAGCCTGGCTCAGGGGATTAACAACACCGGACGTGCTGGATGCCCTTTTTGAAAGTGCCCCAGAGGCAGACACTCGCATCCTTGTCGTTCATTTGGATGAGCTCGCCATGCTATTGAAGGAGACACGCCTTGGCTTCACTGACAAGAATCTCAAAGAGTTTGTGAACAACTTGGCTGACTACAACTGTGGGCAGAGGCCGCTGGGATTGGTGGTGCCCGTCATTACCCATACTTCGCCGGTGATATGGGATCCAGAGACAACTACAATACCGCTCAAGCGCATGAATCTGGGTCCCTTCAGTTTCGCGGAGTCGTTAAAGTTCTTTCAAGGCTGGTGAGGGGACAAATCTGCTGTTCGATGACATGTCCATGCCACTGCATGATGCATGCGTGTTTCCCTGAGGCATCAATGTTACGGACCTGGACTCCCTGCTTGCGATTAGCGCCTGTGGTGGTCACGCCGCGTTGCTGGTGGAGATGCGTAAATTCATGGGGCGGAAGAGTGGTGGACTTGGTCCACTGATCACATGCAGTCGTCTTGATCTTCACCGAAAATCCGTCAAAGCAATGGGCATGTCCAAGCAAGAATGCATTTCACTGCTCAAGGCGATCCTTTTGCAACAGGTCGTCCTCGAAGACAAGATTCGAAGGTACTCTCAGAAGGGTCTACTCTTCCTTGAGGACGACGATGGTAGGTATCGCGTTTCAGTCCCATACCCATGCTTGTTGAACCTGCTGGAGGTGCTTGATCGACCAGGGCGTTTTGAGAACCTGCGGTGGACTGGCAACACTCCAGCAAAGAGCAGGTGGAGAACGAAGGCATTCGAGGCTCTCTGCGCCATTCGGATTGCCATCGAAATGAAAGACTTCCCCTACGATTCGCCACGTGATCCTAACACTGTAGCGACGACATTCGTGAGAGAGAAGAAGTCTTGCGTCTGCCTTGCAAAGAATCAGAACGAGGCAGGTGTGGACGCCATCGGGGTTGATGGTGGTACAATGATTTTGTTGCAATGTAAATACCCAGAAATGGATTCCACAGCGCAAGACTGGAAGGAGGTTGAGCAGTTCATGAATTTCACAGCAAAAACGGGTGTGGAGTGGGCCAAGAAAGCAGGGTGCAACCAAATCCGTGCCATCTTTGCCACCGGGAGGGCGCCGAGAAATTACACATCCACAAGGCCAACTGAGCTTGAGGTTGACGGTGTGCATATCTCTTACACAGTCTATGCGAAGACCGAGAACCGAAAAGACTGTGCAATCAGGGCAATGCCGATCAGTACTTGGATTCCTTCCAGCGTCATGTGCTTCTGACCGAGATGCCTTGACCGTGGACCAAACGCAAAGACGAGGGGGGCAGATACAGTTTAATGAGTTGCAGAAGCATAGTCGCGAAACAGGATGTGCGGCGGCTTCTGCGTTAAAAAGATGCTCGAGGTTGTGGCATCCGGCTCTAGCGCTTGTTGTGAAGGTGCATGTGCATGTACACTTTGTTGAGGCGTGCAGCAATTGGATGAGGGAACTGCAAAGCGTCATGTGCCCTGCCGTTAAAGCACGAAATCTATGATCGATGCCAGGTCTCAGCGCCCAAAGATGCATCCTGGCTTCGAAGTCAGGCTCGACCTTGTCTTATCTTGTCTTGCCAATTCCAAGTTCGAATCATCCTACCCTACTTCCAGGTGTCGCAACATGATCGTATGTCAAGGGTGCTCAGGCAGATAACTAGAGCAGTCCGGTCTTGGGAGCGGCGGCGAGGCTCGAATACAGGTACATAGTGTCATCGCGTACGCCCAGTGCATTTGCCCCTGCATCACGGCGGGAGGACATTGAATTTCGTTCAGTCTTGCATCATGGCGCAGATGACCCAGTCGCGAGTAGTATCAAGGTCACATCAAGGTTGCACGCAAATCTGGTTGGAGGGGTGTGAACCCTCAGTTTGTTGTTCTTGGTGCCTTCAGCTCACAGTCTTCAAGGACTTTCTTTCATGTTTTCCCTGAGCTGTCACGTTCTATTGTCAATGCAATGCCAGGTGAAAAGGACTCCCGGCTAGCGAGATTTCCGACTGGGACGAGCGCGCCTGGAACTCCCGCATCAAGGACAAGGCGAACAGGCCCTTCCTAGAGAGGCAACTGTGCAGGAAGTTACGTCCCAGATCGATTCCAGGCTGTGGACTGAGGGTCGTTGCTTTCTGGAGAGGCACGTGGAAAACGTCTTTCCATGGACATTTGGCTGAGAGGAATATGCCGAAAGCCGCTGGTCTTTGCTGCTAGTTGTAAGGAGATGTAGAGGATCCTGAGACGCGATCTTGTGTGAAGGGCAACGGCCACGATTACCGATTCAGCACGAATCTCAGATCGTGGGTTCCTTACGGTGAAACCGTAGACAAAGTGTTCAAGCAGTGGAAGTCCAGAGTTTGCCTTGCTCATAGGTCTGTTGAGTCTGTAAGCATCGGTGAAAATTCGGCTAGTCTGTTGGAGTCTTTCTGGAATCTTTCGATTTTTGTGGAGTCACTTTGTCTTGGCGGAGTCTTTGCGAAGTCTCTGCCGCAGTCTCTGTGGAGTTTGACGGCTTTTCGGAGTGCTTGTGGAGTCTCTGCTGAGTTCACATGAGTTTACGGTACAGATTAGAGTCACTGGACGCAGAGACGACGTCTGTACCGCAGTCTTCCCTGTAATTCAAACGCACCCAACCGGATCAGCGGAAGTCGAACCTCCAAACCTCTACCCCGCCAGGCCGCACTATGGCCCGAAAGATTTTGCATGGACTTTGCGCGCACTTTCGGGCCTTCTAAAAGCCAGCTCTGGACCTCCTAGGCCGCGTTCTGGAGCGAGTTCCGGCCGAAACCGGGGAGAAGGACTTACCCCATGAACGAAACAGCCAGAGACTACACCACAACGTAGCGCAGTTTTGAAACATGGATATAAGAGAGAGTTCGTAGTTTGCTGAACGGCTCCCACCGGCAAAGCCTGTGCGCTGCAGCTTGCAGAGCTTCGCTTTCGTCTCACTGTTTTGTAGTTCTGTGCTTTGTAGTTTGTTAGTTTGCTTGTAGGGACCGAGTGCTACAGCTGTAGTCGACGAGGCCCATTCACGCCAAAAAAAAGGCTTTCTTTGCAAGGTGTCCCTTTAAAGAAACTCTTTTGAAAAACCAAAAGAAGCGTCTGGGAACAGAGTGTCTTTCAGGGATGCCCTTTCAAAGTGCCTTTCAAAGGTTCTTTCCAAAGGGTTTGGAAAAGGGTGTCTTTCAAGAGTGCCTTTTGAAGGTGCTCTTTCAAAGGACGTCTTGGAAAGAAGTCTTTGGAAGGCTTCCTTTGCAAGGAGTTCCTTTAAAAGAAACTCTTTTGAAAGGTCAAAAGAAGTGTCTTGGAACAGGGTTGCCTTTCAAAGGTCCTTTCCAAAGAGTGTCGGATAAGAGTGCCTTTCAAGAGTGGATGTCGGATATTTGATCTATTGAAGGCGGCTTTCCCTCAGAGCTTGAATTTGCCTTATCAGGGAGTGGTTTCTGCGTCGCCTGTCCCTCAGACGGCAGCACAGCCTTCAGATCCCGGAAATTCGGTGACGAGTGGATCTCATTGTCAGGCATGGAGCAAAAAAGAGGGCCTAGGGCCGCGGATCGTCGTGAAGAAGCGTACCGCCGGGTCTTCACATTACTTCATGCCTTTTCGAGTTTCTTTGACCTGTGTACTTTGATGGCGGATGACGAGGAGGACGGCCCGGATTCTGTTCAGGCGGTTTTGGCAGGAAAATCACCGAATACCATCTTGAAGCATGTGGTCCGGGTGTTTCAGCACTCCGCTCCGTGGATCGTTTCGATCCCGGAGAAGAGTCGTTGTTCCTCGACTATCTGGTGTACCTATTTGTGGGCCAAGGGCTAGCAGCAGCCACAGCACAAGCTCGCCTGGGAGCGATTCGAAGCTTGCATCTACAGCTGGGCTTCCCAGACCCGCTGAAACCGCTTCCCCGTTTGCAACTTGCACTCGAGGGGATCAGGAGGAGGAAAGAACCCATCAACAAACGACGTCCAGTTACGCCGCACATGTTGGCAAGGGCCCAAGCGGCGTTGCCACAAGGGCTGTGGGGAAGACAGCTCAATTGTGCATTGCAACTCGGGTTCTTTTTTCTCTTGCGAGTTTCGGAACTGGTCGGCGGCAACAACCCGAAGCTTGGACTTCGTGTCAAGGACGTCAAGCTGTGCAGCCGTGGCGAGTTCCTCGCGGCCACCCTTCAGCGGGGCAGATGAGGTGCAGATAGTTGTGAGAGCCTCTAAGACGGATCCCGAAGGGGAATCCGCCACGAGGAACTTATTTCGCAGCGATGCGGCCGTCTGCCCTGTTCTGGCAACCATAGAGTTTCTGGAACTCAAATGGTTAGAAGCCACGCCGCATCCGGAAGAAAGATTCTTCGGAGAACTTACAAGGCAGGACATCCAGACTGCCCTGCAAACTGTCGCTGCCTCCTTAGAAGAGGAGGCACAAGCATACACCCCCCACTCTCTCAGATTTGGGGGAGCTTCTGCAATGTGGGCAGGGGGAATGGACTCTTACGTCCTCCGAACCTGGGGCCGGTGGAACTCGGACGCTTTTTTAGCTTACCTTTGGACGTCTAGGAAGGCGTCCGCCAACACCGCTGCCTGCATGGCCCGCGCGGACATGACACCGGTCAAAGGGTTCCCAAATAAGTGAACCGCCATCCCCCCTCCGTGTGGGCCCTTGTCGTGTCGCGTTTCGCGACCGACAACCCCTTTGTGTGGAGGGGCACACACTCCTTTTTTGGTACAAAGGGGGGAAGGTTGCACAAACGTGCAAAAGACCAAGGACTTCGTGCTTCGCGCGCAAAAAAGTTCTGAGCCGAAGTGAGTGTGAAACGTGGTAGCTTAGCGCTGCGTGCGTAGTGTTTCACCTCCGTAGGCTCTCTCAAGGGTGACCCACCCACCCACCCCCTGCACAAATGTGCAAAAGACCAAGGACTTCGTGCTTCGCGCGCGAAAAGAGTTCTGAGCCGAAGTGAGTGTGAAACAAGACCTTTCGCTCCGCGTTGCTCGAACAGGCTCAGAGTGAGGTTGAAAAGTGTGGGAACTTGTTCAGAGAGAGATGAGATGCAGCATTAATGTAAGCCTGCTGCACGTGCCTGCTGGCAGCTGTAGCAGCTTGCACTACCACAGTTGTAACAGAGGACTGGGCTCCAATCTCCTCTTGCCATTGTGAGCCGTAGACCTTGCAGGTTGTCATAGGAGTAGGCTAGCCCACAGTCCGCAAACTCAAGCGTGCAGTAATGTTCTCTGCTAGGACAATGAATGACGAGCGCCTGGACTCGAAACCTAGTGCTATTAATATCGTCAAGCGTGAGTTCATGGCCCAGCAGATCATAAGCAGCACCTTTGTAGGACGAACTATGAGACTCCAGCACAAAAGCGAAAGACCGTGGATAGTGCAAACCATCGGGCTTGAGCTGCATGTGACAAACATCGCAAGTGCTTTGGCACACTCCAGTCGCTACAACTCGAGCAACGGATGACTTGACAGCCGCATCGAAGTTGACGATGATATCATCGTGAGCTCCAAGGTCGGTTAGCAAAACCGTATATTGCGCATGTTTAGCACTTCGAAGAGCAGCCTGCATACTCCAACGATTGTTACAAGCGCACTCAGACTTAATCTTCAAAGCAAGATTAGTTTGAGAGACACTCTGCAAGAAGGGAAGCGCATTCTCTATGGTATCGTTGACTGAATGAAGTCCTGCAGGATCCTTCGGGTGGTAAGAGAAAAGCGCCTCAGCAAAGCCTTCACGTAGCTCTTTGTTCCAGTCTCGAGTGACAAGCCCCGCGCCGACAGCAATGAAGGCACCCTGGATGCTGCTCGGCGATTTGGTAAGCTCTTCCTTGGTCAGCCTATTAAAGGCCATGACGTCTTGGCAGTGTCATCTCGTGCGTTAATCTTGGAGGTTTGCCGGGACAAGGCGACTCCCTGGTCAAGAGATGGGGTAGCGGAAGTATTCCGCAGCCCTTGCACACCAACACCGCCAGCTACACAAGCTGCTGAACCAATAGGTACAGCCTTACCGTGTGGCTTAGCAGTGCCACTGTGGGAGCCGACTTTGGACGACTCGCTGGGCGAATTCGGAATGACAGGCTCACCAGACTGCTTAGAAAAGAAATTCAGGGGCATCTGGGCGGATATTAGCTTGGCCCTATCATTGTCGTAGTCAGTGATGTCTCTTTCCCCCTTTTTTTCGGTGGGCTCCCTCGGTACATCTCCAGGTTGACCTTTTCTGAGCCCGGCAAGAGCGGAACAGACACTTCTGGAAATGTTTCCAGCACG